TTTATTTGTGTTAAACAGAAGGAACCAGGACAAGACTCAGAGTAACTTTACATATGTTAGAGGCTTAGGAGCCAGCACTGTTGACTTAATATGAACTAGATGTGTAGATGTCTCTCCACTCGTTGACTTTAAGGTTCTAGGCATGGGATCCTCACATCATCTCCCGCTAGCGGTTCATTTACAGTCTGACAGCACTCTGATAGGTACGGCTTCATCGACAAATGCTACAGCAAAAAGACTAAAATGGGATGCATCAAAAAGTATCGAGTTAAAAAACGCCCTATGCTCGAGAAGAGCCCCGGAGCTGCGAGGCATAAAAATTGACAACGAAACACTACTAAACGAGATCTGGAAAGTGGCACGCGAGCTAAGTATGGAACAGGTCTCCCGCGTTGGTGAAAGTGAACCCTACTACTCCAAAGATAAATCGTGGTATGACAGTGAATGCAGGAGTTAAAAAAAGGAAAAAAGCGGGCCTATCTAACGTGAAGACGGTTGCATGTAAAAAAAACTTGATTAATTCGTACTTCTTCGAACATTGCACACGTGCGGAATAGATGGATAATGTTTTTGATTGTGCTGAGGTACGTCTGATACGCAGGGCAACGCATGAGGCATTTTGGATGCCATTGGAGAATGTCTGACAAGTGCATGATTATCAAATGTGGCTAGGTGAAATTACTGGTCGTACGCAAATGATTAGAGACGTGTTCGGTAGTCTCGGTACGCATAGTCCATAACACAGGGGCACGTTAGATGGCACCCTAACATACCTGATGTACATGCATAATTATGAGATTAAAATGCAAGGCAGCTACGGTAGCGTAGTAATAGGCTTAATATCGCCAGATTATACTATCGTAACTAAGAATTGGTCCGCTTACAAGTGCATACACAAGTTAAGCAAGGCATCGCCCAAGATTTTCATGTTATAGGCGTGCCATATTCGGGGCTTATACGAGCTACGTTGACATGCCCTACTTGGTTGTATGGGTGTAGTCCAGGTGATGATCGAGATCGTATTTTCTTTATCCCAGGACGAACTAGTAAAAATCCTAAATTCTCTAAAAAGTTTGATAGTGTAAATTGTCTACTCAATAGTGGTTTGCCAGGTAAAGCTAAGGTATACCAATGCACTGGTTTTTACGATAGGATCCGATACTATTCAAAAATAGCTGAGACTGCAAATAATCACCGATTTTAAATATTCTTAGCTATTCTAGAATCCTAAGGATTTTCTTAAAATACGAAATCACGATAGATGGCACTAGGGTTTGTCGGCGTTCAAGGGTACCAGTATTCTCGGCTGCCAGAAAATTTTCTCACTGTAAACGCAGCCTATCGGCAGTGGTTGTTCCACAGAAACTAAGAGCACCACTTAGTATTCAAGGAGTCTCTACTCAAACATAGGAAGCTAACAAAGAATAAGAAAAAAAACTTTATCCGCAACCAACACCTTTGTCTTGCTGGAACAAGAGAACATCAAAGCTTTTGGTCTGCTATTAAGCAGCTAAGGCCGCGAAGTTCGACTCCTTGCCAGCTGCAAAAAAATACTGTAGAAAACTTTTATAGGTACATTTACCCCCAGAGAGATGTTACATTAGTAAACGTCATATATTGCAGACATCCACTTTTGGATGCTGAAATAGATCTGAATCCCTTCCCTCCTGAGACCCCTTCTTTCAGGCTGTGCCGACTCATTAGCTTGAATATATACGCAGCCTGTTTAACTGGGTCTCAGAATCTGAGACAATATCGGAGAATTGGTACTGCAGTGACGTAGTTGTTCTGTTCAAAAAAGGAGACAAAGATGGACCCAGCAAACTACAGAAGTATTGTCCTGATGAACGTAATAACAAAGAATTTTACCTCCATTCAGCTTTAGAAAAAACTATTCATGCGACAGCAATATTTTTGTATTGCAAGCAAAAGTGACCGTGGCCTTATTCAGACCAGGTGGGAAACTGTATACCGCGTTTGGGAATTTTAAATGTGCATTTGACTCAGTGGCCCATCCTGTGCAATGGAGAACAGTCTACAAAGAGGGAGTCAGCTCTAAAGTCTACAAAGTGGGAGTTATACGAGTGCTACAAAACCTGTACTCTAGAGCGCATATTCAAGTGAAGCTAAACTCCAGACCCAAATCAGATATGATTAAAGTCATGGAGGGTGTGTTGCAGGGGGATACTCTAAGCTCCACTCTCTTCTCACTACTCCTATATGACATCCTTGACTTTTTCAAACAGGCAGGGCATACGTCAATCGACAAAAACACCGAAATTTTGCTATTCGCCGACGATCTGATTATAACAGCAGCGAACCACTCTGACCTGCAAAGCAAACTTAACACACTGGCGCTATTCTGTAAAAATAACAGTCTGACTGTCAATACAAAGAAAATCTAAATACTAATATTCAAGAACTCAGGCAAAATCAAAAGGGAAAAGCCCTTCAAGTTTATGGAGCAGCAGTTGGAAGAGGTCAAGGAATTCACATATTTGGGTGTAACATTCTCATCTTTGGGCTCCTTTGCAACCAGTAGAATGCTTACTAAAGGGAGAACTGCACTTGGCTCTGCCTGGCAGATTCTGTGCAATGGACACAAAAACAGCTGGTTGGCAAGTAGAAAGCTTTTTGACGCTCTTGTCACCTCTACTACACTGTACGGTTCTGGCATTTGGGGACTATTTCAGGCCAAGGAGGCGTATTCATGTACTATTCCTAAAAAAAATATTATTGCTCCAAAACAGCACACCAGAATACACCTTGCGCTTAGAGATAGGCAGTATCAGCCTCCAACCGAAAATAGTGAAGAGAGCGATGATGCTTTGGTCCAAACTTCTCGCATCTGACCCTACCAGCTACCTAAGAAAAGCCAACGAAAACTTAAGAGCTCTAGATACCCTGCATAATAACAAACTCAAACTCGATTGGTTCAGCCTTCTGAATCATGTCCTTCTCAGATGCAAACATGATAATCTAACCGATACGACTGATCACAAAGAAGTATTGCTGGCCACCCCCACCGTCGAAACAGCGCTCTCATCAATGTGCTATCTAGAAGATGTCAATAGAGCATTGAAGTCCATGTACTGCCGTCCATTCAAAGAGCTCAAGAATCTAGAAAACGTCAATGTCGAAGTATACCTCTCTTCCAATGTACCAGGACAGTTTTTTAGGCTGTTTGCCTTCTGCCGTTTAGCTGTCAGCCACACGCTTCGCTTATATATAAAAAAAGCCAGAACCAAGTACATCAAAGTATTTAGTCTTATCAGCTTCCTTGGATATTATAGCACGTACGATGGGCCCAATTTGTATTATTTTCTCACTGAGGCTACAAAGTTAAGATCTCTGATGGATTGAAATCTTTCTAATTGTTATTCATATTTTTATGTCATTTTAGCGTATTGAATATACAGTAAACTTTAGATCAAATACTGTTTGACATGTATATGTGTAACTTTATAAAATTAGATTGTATACAACTATCATATCCTAGACTACTTCCTATGTATTCGAGCTCTGGTGGAATTGTAACGGGTCTTGACCTGGCTAAAATTAGAAAATAACAAAAGTAATAATAATAACGATAACAATAACAATAATAATAGGAATAGTAATAATAATAATAATAATAATAATAATAATAATAATAATAATAAAGTATATTTACTGTTGACAACCAGTTTTATCATCTGGATGGTAAAACTCACAGTCAATAGTACATAACGCATTACGGTATTCTACACTTATTTCTGGATGGCAAATTTTTTTTAGTTTGTAATTACTTTTCTTTCCGTACGGCATTACATATGACATTACAAATTCCAAACCTTGTACGTATTGTAATATATAAAACCATATGTAATACCATATGACTTTTCTAAACGAATTACTCAAAGAATTCCGTCATCCTTTTATCAGGTGGGTTAAAAACGACGTGATTCCTAGAGGACGCCCAAATCCATAAAAACAGTTGTCAGAAATCATTTTCTCAAACAATTTGGCCATCGTGCCCTAGATGAAATTTAGTCTATAATATTTGACATAAGATTCATCACCTTTTTTGTGGATTGGTATAATATATAATAATTTTTAGTACTAAGGCATATAGCCCTCTGATAATGACCAGTTTAAAAAATGTAGGAAAGACTCAGCAACAGCAGCTGCGCATTTCTTTATAAATGATGCCAAACAACGATTCGGGTTCTTATTGCTATCATTTTTAAAAGCATTTGTTGTCTTGCAGATGTTATCAATTGTCAGTGACAGGGAGCTGAAACACCTAAGATCCGGCGTGGCAATGTTGCCTGCAGGAGGCATACCATTATTTCTACTGTGGTAAATTAAATCAAAATAATTCGAAAACAAATTCGCTTTTTCTACCACAGCTGCAGCAGTGTGCCCCTATAATTAATGTTCGCTGGTAACCTATCACCACTTTTAAGATTATTTACATATTTCCGTAAGCATTGACCTCTGTCCAACTATCGCAAGCTCTATATTATAACTACACGAGTCACACTGCAGTACTTCCTTCTTCACAATCGTTACTGTAGACATCGACTATTACATATTCTAATAAGTAAAACCATTCTGTGTTTGCTTTTCTGTAGCCTTTTAGTTCTATCTGCCAAATATATTAGTTTAAAACTTGACTAGCCTCTCCCTTGCATACGTTTTATTCTTATTTTATGCCGACAGAACATACAAAAACAAATTTAATTTTTAATGTAGTAAGACAGTTTTTGTAAGGATACTTGTACTGTCAATTATTTCAATATTAGCTAGTTTAACACGTCAAATTAGTTCATAAGTTATATCATTCATACTATACCAGTTACGTTTGTTACATCTTAGAGGACTCTAAAAACAAATATTATCTCTTAAGAATTGAAATATCTCAGTCGACACGAATTCTATACCTTATGTATTAACTTCAGTGTCAAATTTAATCGTTAATATAAAAAACTAATTCAAGATTATGACCTTATTTTCAGGATTGTGATCGACACATTGAAAAACATTAATCCTACAAGGAAGTGCTACAGAATGATTGGGGGAATCTTATGTGAACGGACAGTCGAAGAAATAATGCCTGCCTTAATTTCAAATAAAGAACAGGTAAGTCTTGGTTCTACGGTTGAAGTAGTTTAAACAAAATAAATTTGTATGAGTCGGTCGTGAGTTCTAGGGGTCGTGGGTTCGATTCCCGCTGAATGCAGATTTTTTCAAAAACTGTTTTTATCGGGAAAAGTTCCTATGCAACCCCGGCTGTTTCGGACGGGTTTTTCTGTGGGATTTTCCTTCAGAGTAATTCCAGGGTTTTTTCCTTGCCCCACAGGTTTTCGGGCCTGGATGAATGCAAAACAGTGTTAGGGCTATATGTAGGGATTAGTGGACCCGATGCCAGGCGTCGGGCAGGGATCGCTGGCCTTACCGGCGAGGAGTGGTCCCTGAAACATGGGGCTTCTCCGGGGATGCTAATTAGCCTGGATCTGATGCTTCGGCAAAGAGCACCGGCTTAACCGTCGAGGAGTGGACGTCCTGGAACAATGGAGTCTTCTCCGGGGAGAGGCTACACAGTGGCGAGTGGACTCGATGCACCATTGGTGCAGAGAGTGTCAGATTAACTGGCACGGTGTTCCACCAGAGATACTCACACATGCCCATGGATTTAGGTAGGATATGAGAAAAAGATTTGAAAATGGGTGTGGTAATACACCCCCACACATAGGTGGTGAGTGGATGGCCCCTGCGACTAGGCCAATAGGCTGTCGTGGTAATCCGGTAGAGAAAAAAAATATATATATACTACATGGTGTCAAAATAGCCATATATAATCCCCTGGGGCGATGATAAATATTCATATATAAAAAAAGGTTAGGTATGTTTAATGTGTTTGAAAAAAAATTTTTTGTAAACTTTTGAAAGTTTCAGGAAATTAAAATAAATTAAATTTTTTTCAATTAAAGAATTAGCCTTGTGAAATTCTAAAATAAAAATCTAGAAAACGTCTGGTATTTTTCGGTACAGTATACTTTCAGTTTGATAATCGAACTATCATACTGTATAGTACGCATGAATTAATAAAATAAAACTGAGTAACTTTTATTTTTAACTTGTACTGTGTGAAAACCTCACATCATACTGATAAGTAAGTTTAAAAATGAAACATAAAATTTATCGAGTCATTGAAAGTAACTATGTGATACGTTGCAGATTTAAACTTTTAGTTGATGTTACACCAACGTTTTTACAAATCATTATAATATTTTGTCAGAAATTAATATATTTTATAATACGTACAAATGTATGATTCATGTCCGTAACTCAATGGCCATAGTTTATTTTTTAAACGAAATTCTTACTTACGTTACATCCAATAAAATTTATTTGTCAATAATTCGTTCTTTAGCATGGATAAAACAATCTTGAGGACTAAGTTACAGTGACAAGTTAAACGCGTGTTTCTTAGTTGGTGAATAAAATCAAATATAAAAGAATAATCAACTGAAGTACTAAAAATAAACTCTAAAATTTTTTGTTTTATAAAGTTTTAATAACTAGGTTTATTGAAAATAATTAAAAACTTTTGATTTGTTTCACTATTTATTTTTACTATAAGTAAGACTGACAACTGTTTTGGCAGTTACACAATCGTCAAAGATTTGACATTTTTTGAATGTAAAAGCGGTGTAATCAACAATATGTATATGTATAAATGATAAGGTGAATATTAATAAATTATTTCTAGCGAACGGTATCATGAAGAATTTAAATGTCAGAAGCGTCGTACTAAATACAGTTAGTAATGGCATTATCTATTGTCGATAAAAGAAGAAAGTTAAGTTGATCTTTAGTTATGAATTTATTCTGTCTCTGTGCTCTAACAATCTCTATCGTTTTTAATAAATTTAACTTAAGGCTTTTGAGTGCTTTATGTAACAGTTTTATATTATTTAAATATGTAACATGTGCTTGTGAGTTAAAATGTTCACTGAAACCAGTCGGGCTCGTATTATTGTAAATAGATTTAACATGTTCATCAATACGTGTAGACAGGGTGCACCCTGTTTGTCCTATGTACATAGCATCACAATCTGAGCATTTAATTGAATATACTCCACTTTTCTCCAAAATACCAGATTTATCTTAATTATTAACTAAAATGGTTTTTATGTTGTGTTTATTGACTGAAATTGGATTTATTTTGTGTCTTCTTAATAATTTATCAGTTTTTTCCGAGTCCATGGGAACATAATTTAACATGTGGATTTTTTTGTTTTCCGGCAACATTGGATAAAAGTGTTTAAGTACGAGTATTTTGCGTGTTTTTTCAATTAGACTATCTATAATAGTTTCGCCGTATCCATTATTTGTTGCTAGGCATTTTGATTATTGTACCTCTCTCTTGTAGTGATCTTTTCGTAAAGGTATCGACAATAATGTATGTGTTACGTCGGCGCAACGTTTTATTCGAGTCTAAGCTTTCGCTTAATAACTCGGGACTCGCACTGGGTGCGTAGGTGGGATGAAGGTAGTTATATTTCTTGTCTGAGTACTTGAAAGGGCGCGAGGACGGCCGTTTTGGTTAAATCGACGCGGTTGTCGAGCAATAATCCGATGCACTCGTTCGCGGCGTGCCTCGGATTTATCGAGAATACCTGGTGTAATGTGTCGAATAGTATCCTGTTCGCGATCTGGAGGTTACTAGTACCGTAACGAGCAATGGTAGTTACACTCTAGAGGTTACGCAAGGGGGTAAAATCGTTTAAGTTCGCGACCGGTCTAGGATCCACCCGTACCATCCGGAGTAAATGTGATTGCCCTAAACTTTACGTGAGGAATAATTCTTCTATTTCATTTCGTAGCGTGGTATTTACCGATACCGAATTTCGAACTCTAACAAAAACACGTCCGCGTTGAAACCGAGAGGGAAAAAGAAAATGACTTGCCACTTTAGTATTTAAATTTGACTTACTTTTATTTTCGGTATGAAACATACAGTGGAGTGAACCAGCGCGAGGTGTCCGAGATCGAAGATTTAAAACTGCACTCGTGGAGGACCGTAAGATAGTAGAGTCGGACTCTAGCTATCTAGTCAACCGTTCGAGGGTGAAATTGAACTGTGTCTGTTCTGTGCTTCCAGGCCCTTTTTATAAGGAGTAGCGGACCTCGACCACGCGCTGGCTGGAAAACGACGCAGAAAAGCTTGCCGCCGAAAACTTTGGGGGAAAAGACAGTAGCCGAAGATCTAATTGTCTGGAGTTGCTCTAGTTTAGTCACTCAAAATTGGCACTTCCCACCTCTGACTAGCTTTCCTACATGCGTCAAGAGAGGGAAAGGTGATTCACTCACTTGCACCCTTCCTTTCTCTTTTACATCAAGATCTTACAGATTTCCCATGTTATTTAATATTAACCTTAGTATAACATAATGCTAGAATTTACTTAGACTAATCATTGTTCGTTTATTCAATCAAATTTATTGCAAAAAGAGCGGTGAAAATCGCCCAATATTTCATGTAGGTATTGACTGAATAATCGTTCACTGCGTTGCTATATTAATAATAGGGTTAGTAATGATAATTTTTACACATTAATAACTATAATAGTTGCTAGAGTTACCAGATACATTTATCGAACAAGTTGGTAGTTGGAAAGAGTAATTGTTAACAGTGGTTCAACCATTTATCTCTGAAGCAGCTGTAGTTGTGCTCCAAACACTAATCAGGTGTTTGTCGTGACCCATTGTTTGTTAACTTAACTAAGCTTGTCGGCCATTTTAATTTATTGTTAGCTACGAATATATTTTGAAATGTTAGTAGTGGGATCAATTCTCATTTCCCCTTTTGTTTTCTCTTTGGAGAGCATATCGGCACGTGGTGCCCTAGGGATTTGAAAATTCCGTTACTTATATTGGCTCGGTCGTACAACCTCTCTCTCTCGACATATCTAAATCAGGAAAAGGGGGAGGAGCTATTGTTGACTGTTGGCTCAATTTTTCCGCTTTCCTTTACATATTGAAAAGTAGCAGCATTTGTCTGGATTACAAATATTAGGTTTTTTCGAATGGTATAAAAATTCTATGGTGCAAGAGGGTAGCTTGGCAACTCATGTATCAAAAATGAGCGAAAACTAATCATGTCGCTTTGTTAGGTTTATAGTAGTTAACATTATTATTTATATTGTGGTTGCTTATCAACTATACATTAACTTAATCTACTTGTCTTAGTTCTTATCTGCCGGTGCATCTGTTTCTAGCTAATCTTTTGCATCTGTTAGTTCTTTAAAGTTATTTTATTATTTTACGCTTTGAAAAGTATTTCATTTAATTTATTTTCGGGTCAGCATGGGCCAGCGTGCATGTATGTGAGTCATGCATGGTCGTAGTACCTTAGCTACGAGCAAACTTGTAGGAGATTCACCTCTTTGCAGATGCACATTGGCCCCTGCGTTTAGTGTTCTAAAATCGGCACGGAAAGTTTTGAAGAAAGGGGAAAAAAAATTAATGTGGGTACGCCGATGTACATGTGTATAAAATAATAAAAAACACTTAAATCAACTTTGACGTACTGTTTTAAACCATGTAGCACTAGAGTGTCAGTAAACATTGATTTTTTATAATTTTGATATACTTATTCATCAATACTAAGTGTTATTTCTAAGTCGAAAAAATTCAAACTATTACCATTTCCTATTTCAATCGTAATATTAATACTGGGTATAAAATTATTTATGCAATTAAGAAATCTCTTCAACGCTCACTCTGTCCCTCTACAAACGCAGAAGACATCATCCACACATCGTGCCCAATGTAGAACACTATCTACGTGAGGTATGGCAGAATTGAAAATGAGATCCTCTATATGCGACATGAAGATTTCGCTAAGAAAAGGAGAGAGTGAGGAGTCCATTGGTAGACCATTAAGATGTTTATAAAATTTTTAATTAAATTTGAAGTATCTTTGTTTAAGACAAATGTTAACTAAATCTAAAATTTCTTGCTTAAAAGTTGAACATAAAAAACTGTTTTTACTGATCAAGTTTTCAACTATGGTTTTCAGTTGGTATGTGGAGATAGAAGGAAACAAATTCACAACATCGAATGGAATTAATTTT